ATTGCAAGGCGATGGGGTACTCGGTTATCAATATAAGGAGTCGGGACAGGACGAAGCTGCTGTTCGACACGTTGTGCGTCTTGACGGACCTTCAGTACGTGGTTTATCACGCGGCTATCAGTTCGCACGGCTCGACTGCCTTCCAGGTGAATTTAATGAATTAATTTGGGCAGAAATACATTTTTAGTCTTGTTGGTTTTATGTCGTAGCAATTTTAGTCTCATGATTTCAACTTTTTTGTCTTTTGGTCATGTGGTTTATTTAAGTATTGAAATTGCAATAAAATTTTAAATTACGAGACTTAAATTACTAATCGAAGGTATGTGAATTTGAGAATGTGTTGTAATTTCAGTCCTCAAAGGACTGAATTTGCAGCAAAATATTAAATCACATGATCAAAAGGCAAAATGTTAGAACATTGGGACTAAAATTGCTAGGAAGTTAAACCAAAAGGACTCAAAATGCAATTTTGCCATTAGTTGGTGAACGTATTCGATTTTTCCCCATATTCTCATTTTTTCAAAGAAACTTGTTCCCCCCTGATCAGGAGTACTATGTGAGGCACAAAGATGGGCACGTTATGATTTCAGAGTGTGAGAAGCATATGGTGACAAAGTGTTTGATTGCTGCTACAGAGAGAAGGGCTTCTCATGTATGTTTCTTGATTTCTATTATTAGTTGATGAAAAAAAATGTTCAAACTGGCTCTATTTCTTGAAAAAGAAAAAAAAAAGACAAAATACATTTTTAGTCTTGTTGGTTTAATGCCATAATTTTTGTCCCAAGATTTCAACTTTTTGTCTTTTGATGCTCTGATTTCATATTTTGATGCAATTCCAGTTATTTGATGACTGAAATTGCAATAAAATTTTAAATTACAGCTACTCGAAAGTCTGTCAATTTGGGAATTTGTTGTAATTTCAGTCCTCAAATGACTGAAATTAAAGCAAAATATTAAATCCCAGTATCAAAGGACGAAATGTTGGAACATTGAGACTAAAATTGCTATGACATTAAACCAACTCAAAATTCAATTTTGCCTAAAAAAAAGAAGGCAAATGGCCATATAAACTGGGTTTACATAATTGGTTGCAGGGGTTGCGTGTGGACATCTGCACGAAAAACCGAACCAGGCTGCTATCGGACGTGACACGAGTCTTTCGGGAGAACGGGCTTTCGATAAAGCGGGCCGAGATTGGGGTGAGGGGGGACAAGGCAGTCGGGACTTTCTACATGATGGGCGATAACGTAAATATGGAAATAATTGAGGCGATTAGGCAGGAAATCGGTGGAGACGTAATGTTCGAGATTAAGTCGGGAGGGACGACACCCGAGGTGTCGCCAACTAGGACGAGCACGAACAGCAGCATGAGTAGCAATGGGATTGAAGAGCGGCCGAGATTCTCGCTTGGGAACTTGCTGTGGTCGCAGCTCGAGAGGCTGTCCAGCAATTTCCGGCCAATAAAACCGTGATCATCTTCTTATAATTTTGCAGTGATAGTCAATGTTATAATTCTTTTCTTCTATTTACAAATGCACCAATGCGCAATTGTACAATTCTTTTCCTTTTTTTTTTTTTTTTTTCTTCTCTCTCTTCTTTTTCTTTTCTTTCCTTCCCCTTTCTTTCTTTTCCTTTTTCTACCTTGTCCTTTTGATCTCTTTTCTGTATACTTCCCCTCAGCACTCGAACACCAATTTATAGAGGTGCAATGGATCAATTAAATATGGTAGTTGATGTGAGTGCATATAAAAAAATCGAGTGGTTTTGGAAGGTTTAGAAAAAATCAAATACAAATGGATGGTTGTCATATAGTGGTTGGAATATTAGGAAGAATAGGTTGGAATATTAAGAAAAATATTATGTTAAATATTAATTTAACACTCAATCATTACAATTCTTACTGAAAAAGGTTGAACAATAAAGCTTCACAATTGCCGGCGCCATTAGCGTCGCCCGCCCGAACCCTACCCATTCTCGAATTGATCCCCCAACGCGACCCATATGCAGCAGCCGGAGCCAAGTTCACTCATCAGGTCGGAGCTTGAGACAGAGACTCTCATTCTTGTCGGCGTCATCTCCTTCGTCAATGGATGAGATCTACTTTGTGTTGGGCTCAGATGCGCAAATGCGGAAGGTGTAAATTAAAACACCAACGTGAAATGGTGAATAATAATCTCACAGCAACTCAAGAATGACAAAAGAAAATCTCTTCCAATATAACAGGAATAATTCTTTTCTGATGTGGAAGATCAGATTAAACTGCGACCACAGAGCATACTAAGAATATCCCAAATAAATAAAATATGCAAGAAAGAAGACACCAAGATTTTTACGTGGAAAAACCTCCAAAGTAGAGGAAAAAACCACGGGACAACCTCCGAACAATTTCACTATATTTTCAAGATAATTACAATATCTTTTCACACTCCCTACACTAGAAATGTAAAATATAGTGACCCAGTGAGACCCCACTCCTAAACAAATATTACAAACAAGGAGTAATAGAGATGATACCCGACTCGGTGTATTTTTTCCACACTCACAGGATTTACTCAAACACTCTATTTTTCTCTCACTGAAAAATAACACTCACAAGAAATATTATTCTTATTATCTTGCTTTCTCTTTTCTCTCGCTTGGTGCATTTTCTCCTACTGAATACCCCCTCTATTTAGAGAGGGGAAAATGCATGTGAACGGATTAAAAAAAAAAACTTGCAGCTCGGCTACTTCCTCTTAATTCCAAATTGGTGGCCAAAATATCACCCACTTCTTCATTTTCTATTATTTTTCTTTTGGATCTTTTCTTCTGGTTGGTCAACCAATGTGGCTGGACCTGACAATTCTCCCCCTCCAGCCAAAGGGAAATATACTGCAGATCTTCACATGCATTCCATGCCGATTAACTCGACACAATGTTGAAGCTTTCCTCCTGTTACAACTTTCGTCATCATGTCAGCAGGGTTTTCGTCAGTGTGAATCTTTTCCAACTTGAACTGTTGTTCTTTCACTGCTTGACGTAGCCAATGATATCTGACATCAATATGCTTCGTGCGAGAGTGGTACATCGCATTCTTACTTAAATCCAATGCGCTCTGACTATCGCAATGAATATCGTACCTCTCCTGCTTCATTCCCAATTGTTGAAGAAACCTCTTCAACCAAAGCATTTCTTTTCCCGCTTCTGTCAGTGCAATATACTCGGCTTCAGTAGTCGACAAGGCAACAGATTTCTGCAATTTAGATTGCCAAGATACAGCTCCTGCTAAGGTAAACACAAGCCCTGAAGTAGATTTTCTACTATCCAGGTCACCTGCCATATCTGCATCTGTATAACCTTCAAGAATTGGGTTTCCTCTGCCGAAGCTCAAGCATTTATTTGCGCTACCTTTTAGGTACCTCAAGATCCACTTCACAGCTTCCCAATGATCCTTCCCTGGATTGGAAAGATACCTGCTAACAACTCCAACCGCGTGAGCGATATCTGGTCTGGTACAGACCATGGCATACATCAAACTCCCGACTGCCGAGGAGTATGGAACACCCGCCATAGCTTCTTTTTCTTCTTGACTCGTAGGACAACTTCGTTTGCTGAGTTTGAAGTGATTGGCCAACGGTGTATTGACCGGCTTAGCCGATTTCATGTTGAATCTCTCCAGAATCCGATTTACATACCGTTCTTGCGATAACCATAACATCTTGGATTTTCGGTCTCGCATGATCTGCATGCCCAAAATTTGTTTCGCAGGGCTTAGATCCTTCATATCAAAGGACTTTGCTAAATCCTTCTTCAAATCACCAATCAGCTTCATATCCTGTCCCACTATCAACATATCATCTACATATAACAAAAGGATAATGAATTTATCACCTGGAAATTTCTTAATGAACACACAATGATCTGCATCAGTCTTGGTATATTCATGGCTCGCCATAAACGAGTCAAATTTCTTATACCACTGTCTTGGAGCTTGTTTCAGTCCATACAAACTCTTCTTCAATCTGCAAACCATGTGCTCCTTTCCATTCTTCTCAAATCCTTCTGGTTGCTCCATGTAGATTTCTTCATCTAGGTCTCCATGAAGAAATGCAGTCTTCACATCTAGTTGTTCAAGCTCCAGATCCAAGCTAGCTACAAGTCCGAGTATTACTCGAATAGAGCTCATCTTTACAACCGGTGAGAAGATTTCATCAAAATCTATCCCTCGCTTTTGTCTAAATCCTTTCACAACTAAGCGAGCTTTGTACTTCAACAGCTTGTCACCATCTTTCTTAAGCTTGAAGACCCATTTGTTTTTCAAGGCTTTTCTGCCTTCCGGAAGCTTCACAAGCTCATAAGTTTCATTTTTCACCAATGAATCCATTTCTTCTTGCATGGCTTTCATCCACTGAGATTTAACCTTATGAGTCTGAACTTCTTTAAAGTTCTCTGGCTCTCCTTCTTCAGTGATGGTAATATACGTGGAACTAGGGTACCTCGTAGATGGTTGGATCGCTCGATTTGATCTCCTGAGCTGAGGCAGGGCTTCGAGGTCTTCTTGCTCGATACCTTCACCATCACCATCTTCTATTGTTGGTTCATCATCAACCCTGAGTTCTCCATCATACTCTCCCCCTACTGTGGCATCTCTAGGAGGTTGAACAGGTGAAAGATCCACCTTACCACCTGGTTCTCTGATTTCTGGTGAAGTAGAATCAGACATAGTTTCTTGCTCATAGAACACTACATCTCTGCTTCTGACAATTTTCCGTTTTTCTGGATCCCATAACCTGTAGCCAAATTCCTCATCTCCATAGCCCAGAAATATACAAGGAATGGTTCTATCATCAAGTTTTCGTCTTTGTTCCTTGCTTACGTGAGCAAAAGCTTTGCATCCAAACACCTTCAAATGAGAGTATTTAACATCATGTCCGGACCATACTCTTTCAGGGATATCAAATCCCAAAAGAACAGATGGAGATCTGTTGATCAGGTAGCACGCTGTTAGAACAGCTTCACCCCAGAATGGCTTAGGTAACTTAGCCATTCTTAACATACACCTCACTTTCTCCATAATGGTTCTATTGATTCTTTCAGCCACACCATTATGTTGTGGGATTCCAGGTACAGTCTTCTCATGCCTGATTCCATGATCAGCACAATAATTCTTGAATTCATTGGAAGTATATTCCCCTCCATTATCTGAGCGAAGACACTTCAAAGGTTTACCAGTTTGTCTCTCCACCATAGCGAGAAACCTTTTGAAGTAGTGAAAACTTCGTCCTTCGTTCTCAAAAAATACACCCACAATTTTCTTGAAGCATCATCAATGAACGTCACGAAATATTTGCTACCACCGAGACTCTCCTCTTCCATGGGTCCACATACATCAGAATACACCATCTCCAACACATTTTCTTTCAGCTTCGAGGTTTTGCTGAAAGACACTCTATGATGCTTCCCAAAGAGACAATAATCGCAAGGATTTAGTTTCGAATCTTTGGCAAATGGGATGAGGGATTTTCTTGCCAAAATTTGCAATCCTTTTTCACCAATATGAGCCAGTCTTTTGTGCCACAAATTTGGTGAAGCATCATCCTCGACTGCATTCAATCCACCTTTGATCAGCTTCACTTGAGTTATGTACAGCGTCGATCTCACTATGCCTCTAGCAGCTAACAATGATCCTTTGGTAAGCCTCCACGTGCCGCTACCAAAATTATTAGTATAGCCTGCTAGATCCAATGCATGCACAGAGATCAGGTTCAGACGTAAGTCAGGAACATGTCGCACGTCCTTCAGTGTTATTGTGCACCCAATATCAGTTTGAATGCACACATCACCAACTCCCACAATATTTGCAATACTGTTGTTGCCCATCTTTACTCTACCAAAGTCTCCTTCTTTGTATAGAGAAAAGAATTCCTTATGAGAGGTGGCATGGTAAGATGCGGCTGAGTCAATGACCCATTCAACACATGAATCTGCAACATGACACTCTTCTTCTTCTTCTTCAACAGAGAGCAACACCACTTCCCCATTGATCACAGGGGTTGCGGTATTTTCATCGTTCTCTGATTTGTTGTTCCTCCGATCTCTGTTCTTCCAGGCTTTACAGTTTCTTTTGATATGCCTTCTTCACCACAGTGATAACACTTAAATTTTCTTCTGGGTTGAGATTGTGATTTATCTCTGGATTTGTTATTCCGGCCTCTGTTTTTACTTCTCCCCCTGGTTTCTGTGACCAGGGCTTGGGAGCTGCTTGCCCCGGAATCTTTTCTTCTTATTTCTTCATTAAACATACTGTCTTTGACTTGGGTCAAAGTCAGTTTTCCTTCAGGAGCAGAGTTGCTCAACGAGACCACCAGAGTCTCCCAGCTATCCGGTAAAGAACTCAAAAGTAACAAAGCCTGCAGTTCTTCATCAAGTTTCATCTCCATGGTAACAAGTTGGTTTACCATGTCTTGAAACTCATTCAAGTGTTCTGCAACCG